ACATCACAATAGACATTTATACACCATTCGATAGCCCTTTTCAAGGGCTACATTCTAGACTATTTGTTTTTGAAAAAGGAGCAACTTCGATTTTTCATCTAATGTCCGCCTAGATGCCCACTGTGAAACAGTAGGATATCGTGAAACTGATGCATATCACGATACATCCCGATAAAAAGGCATTATGATTTATCTAATTACTTCTTCCGTTCGGATATTTCTACAATTTAACGCGGTACGAAACAATATCTCGATGTTGATCGGTGCATATTTATTGCGGCCGAACGAAACATTGTTTTGCATTGTGATAAATGATGGAGATAACGCGGTAACAACTTTACATCGCGATCTATCAGAACGATCTGATAGATCGCGACGTAAAATTTATCGCGATAAACAATGAAGATATCGCACTTTGTACCATTATCAACGCCTTTTTAGCTATATATCGGCGATTGTCCGATCTAAGAATCCTCAACGGTATAGTGACTATTAGTTAACAGATGAACAACAAGAATATCTTTACTAAAAATGGATTAGAGCTTCAAGTGCAACATGAAATAACTACCTGTAGGATGAGTTTCTTGATGATCATTAGTGTCAGTTTCTATGTTGCTGTAACAGTTAGTTTGATCTGTTTAGAGTAAGATATTATACATTATCATAGTTAACTTGTTACACGATCAGTAAATCTCTGCAAAAATTCTTTTCTTTTTTATCTTTGTTTAAACATACACTAGAAGGTCATCGCAGCAGTTACGATACGCCAGTAGTTAGGGAGTGATGTTACTTTTCGCTACTATATCACGCGTTTTTCGCGGTGGAGTGTAAAAAATGGATTTACTTCGACCAAATACCAGATCAGAACAATTTTATCGAAAAAATTTTACCTTTCTAATCAAAAACTATACCATCTTGCAGAGAATTTTAAGCTCTATCTACCCTGTAAATTGCTAGTCCTTTAGATATATCCTAGATTAATTAGAAATTGCGAAAATACGACATAGACGTTGTTTTCATTTTTCTTGTGGGGGGTAATAATGAACACTTAGCTATTTTTCATGGGATAATTCTGGACAACCCATGCAAATTGCAATAGACAGAAGAAAACGTTTAGAAACCGATTTTGCTATCATACTAAACGTCAAAGCTGTTCAGAATCATGAGCTCAGCTCTATCATATATGTAAAAACCGAATAATAATAGTAGTTTCACCGTTTCCTGAAGAGAATATGAATATTTTTATTTTCGAACGTCTTTTTATCCATTAAAACTAAAAGAAAAATTAAATTAGAACCTTAACTGGCAATTAACTGACGAAAAGCTCAACTTTTCATAAACCCTGATACTTTAAGGAAAACTTGCCACTATTGGATCACATTACGTGAAAAAAATGAAATTATTCACTTTATTCTTCTCTCGTGCTCTTTCTTTCCGATTACATAAAACCCAACCTGCAAATTTATGATAAAATTATCTACTCTACAGTAAATAAGAAGCCATTCACTTGAAATAGCAAATATTTGTTCCACTTAAACCTCTAATCTCAAGTTTTTTATGAGTCTGCGAATTAAAGGAACAAATATTTGCTACTTCAAGTGAATGGCTTCTTATTTATTGTAGAGTAGATAATTTTATCATAAATTTGCAGGTTAAATTTTATGTAATCGGAAAGAAAGAGCACGAGAGAAGAATAAAGTGAATAATTTCATTTTTTTCACGTAATATGATCCAATAGTGGCAAGTTTTCCTTAAAGTATCAGCTCATAAAAAACTTAGAAATAGTATGAAAAGAAATTATGCGCTAATGCACACGTTAACTCTATTGAGATATACTCGTGACTAATGACCAGTCAATGCTGAATAGTTGATGTTAAATGGGTCGTTTGCAAAAAGGGATTGATGTAGCATGAAGTGAAATTCTCTTTACCATTCATTTGGAGGTATGAAGTGAAATGTACCACGTTTATGAAAAGTTGAACTTTTTCGTCAGTTAATTGTCAATTTACGAGGTAAATGAAACTGGCAATTCTCTGCACGATGGTATAACTTTTTATTAGAAAGGTAAAACTTTGCAGTTGAGAAAAAATTGTTTTACTTTCTTCCGCTGGACTATCCAGAATTAACCCAACAAGACACACTGACCGTCCATAATGAGGAGTAATTCTGGATATTTGATGAGTACTAATTAATCTTATTAAACTTTAACAAGATTTTTTCATCAATAGATAGAAAAATACCATCCACATGTGAGGTGTTGTTTTTTCCCCCAAGTAAAAATACTTCAGGTACGTTCAAAATACCGTGAAAATTAAAAAAAGCCGTCCAGAACTGCCCCAACTTACTCTATAAAAATAAATCTTTTCTTTTAATTATTCCAATCTGATATAAATAAAATCATTTTAATTCAGCTCAGCAGCGCATGATGTCAAACGTAGGAAAAGGCATCTCTCATCTCATTTTAAACATATGTTTAAAGCGTAGTGAAAGACGCCTTTTTCTTTCAGAATAAAATTCCGCAGGGCTCTGCTCAGGAAACCTGCGAGTTGTATGCGTTAAAGTCTTCGGCGATGTTTTTACCTTTACGCAGGATTTTTTCCACGCTAATTCTACATGAACTATGAAGGACTCCGTTGGGTCCCGCAGAATAAAAATCTTGTATAAAGGTAAGAAACATCGCCGGATACTCTAATACACACAATCAGCAGGGCTCTTGCGCAAAATCCTGCGGGGTCCTGCATGAGTTTTAATTATTTTTTTCAGTGGGTGATATAGAAATAAAACTTCCTCCCTTTACAATAAGGAAAAGATCACGGGATGCTCCTCTACAAACACAACCTCGCGTCCTAAACGTGGTCGAGGAATTAACTATCAGGCTGGCATTCTACACTCTACTTTTTGTTTTTCAAGATTTTATCTTTGCGTATGTTTATCATGTTCATAAAACAACAACTTGATAGAAACGCCATGGAGAAACCATGGTATTACGCGTCATTACGCTGGAGTTTTTTCGTAGTGCGTTCTTTATTTCTTAAGAGGTCATGACAATATTTATCATCACAAATCTTTATTTTTTGTTTGATATTAAATAAAGAAAAAAAGGGACTGATAACAAAAGCTCTTTATTTATAAAGTTTCTGTTTCAGAGGTTAGCGTGATTTAATCAGACATATGTAGAGAACAACATACTATATTAAATAATGGCATATTGGTTGAATTTGTATTTCCTTGTATTGACTTCTGTTCTGACCATAAATAGTCAGATTCAAATACCACAAAATTTTATACCATTCGGTGTGGATCAAGGTGATCGAACATTAGCTCGTCCAATCGATACTATCTCATCATCGATACCAATTAAAATTCGATTTCCATATTTCAATGAAAAATACGATATCATACATATCTATAGCAGCGGTCTCATATTGTTTGGTAATCGAACTTACGTTTTGCCGCATATATCACCAGGACCATTTCCGTTGAAAGATTTTATATGTGTTGCACCGTACTGGGCTGATACAGATCAAACTGTCGATCCCACGAGTGATATATTTTATCGTGAAATAGATGACACTTCAATGCTTCGAACAATTACTGAAATGGTAAAGACTGGTTTTCCAACATTAGTCTCACACACCATGTTGTGGGCTTATGTTGTCACGTGGTATAAGGTACCACCAGGTCATGGCTGGTCAACACCCCGAAACACATTCCAAGCTATTATAACAACGAATGGTATCTATTCGTTTACAATATTCACTTACCACAAACTGGAATGGTCCGCTGGAGCATGGGGTGGTTATCCACAAGTCGGATTTAATGCTGGTGATCAACAAAACTATTATACTATTGAAAAGTCATTTTCAGCAAATATTCAGAGTATAGTGAATGACTCGAATATTGGTGTGCGAGGACAATTTATATTTCATACAACTGGCGATATCGGAAATGTTGAATGCAATACAATAGATGGATTATTGGTTTCACCTTACCGTGGTTTAACTTTTGGAGGCTACGATTTTCGCTTATATGGTATTTGTTTTAATGAAACATCTTACATTGTAGAAATTGATAATCATATTGTCGATGCATGTCAAATATCATTGATGTATATTGTGTGTACAATGCCAATGTTGTATGATGGACCAACATTACTAATAAAGCTTTACAACAGTAATCGGACATTAATTGCTTCAACAGAATTTATCGTTGAAATACCTCCAGATAACAGTGTCATACAGTCAATGTTATTAGAAAATAACAAATTTGATGGCAATATAATTAATATTAATGATGAAGATACATTGATATTAAATTTTAAAAAAAACTCATTAACATTAAAACAGCGATTTGACATTATATTGTATTATTATTATGCTAAATTTGACAATAATAATGAACTTAGTAATATATCATCCACACAAATTGAACTTGGCAACAATGTCAATTTATCAGCTATTGGAAATTTTGCAGTAAATTTGACATCGGCACTTTCCTTAGTAAGAGTAGCAGAATTAAAAGATGTGAGTGAGTTTATTAGCTTAGCGTTTCATACATTAGGCACAGAAATATGGCGATTAACACTCAGTTTAGTATTAGATCGCAAAAAATTAACAGAAAGTACTGAAGATTGTAAAAGGTGGCATAGTGAGCAAGCTAACCCAGAGGGTTACATTGAACAAATCCCAACGTGTTTTTGTCGTGTTCCGTCTACTGGTCGAGATCCATTTCCAAATCCTTTACCCGGTGGGACATTTCAAATTGATAGTGGATGTGATTTTCATAAAGATCTAGATAAGACATGTGCCTATCATCAAGGTGCTCGTGGTTGTTATCGTGGACAACAAAAACAGAGGGGACCTGGTGCTCAGTGTTGTTATGACTCAAACGGTCGCTGGATAAACAATCCTAAAAATGGCGGTGGTACATTAGATGTTCAAGCACCAACTGGATCCCTATTACAAATACTTAAACATCATCGAGTCGATGTGGCACCATTTTATTGGTGTTGTAAAGGAGGAGGTCAGGCTTCTGAATTATGCCAACTGTACTTTGAAAAACGTCCAGCAGGTAAATGTGAAAATGAAATATTACCAATTCCAGCAGGCGGCAATGGAGATCCACATTTCTTAACATTAGATGGTACAAATTATACGTTTAATGGTTATGGTGAGTATGTATTATTAAATATAGAAAATATATTAGAAGTACAAGTTAGATTAGCACCTATCGCATCCGATGAGCTTGAAAATCAAGCGACATCTATAGTAGCGTTTGTAATTAAAAATAAAAATTATGCCAGAGTACAATTTGAATTATTTCAATCATTGAAACTTGTTGAAATACGAGTAAATAATCGTCTAATAGAATCAAGCATTTTTCAAACATCGCACAACAATGATGACAATGATGATACTCTGTCGCAAATGTTATGGATGATGGGTAAAACTGTTAAATTCGACAATGATAATGTGGCAATAACACAATTAAATTTGACAATATTTAAAATTCAATATTCAAATCAAATTAATTTTATTATTGATATACGTAAACAATATGATTTTTTAAATATTATAACAATTTTATCACAAACATTAAAAGAAAAATGTAAAGGTTTACTTGGAAATATAGATAAAGATCAAACAAATGATTTAATGTTTTCAAATGGGACAATTTTAACATCAGCTGATATAAATGATGAACATATCATATTTAAGTTTGGTGAATCATGGCGTACAACATCAGACATGTCGTTATTTTACTATATTGCCAATGATAATCACGGTAAACATCAAAATCTAAAGTATCGTCCAATATTCAAAAGTGAATTATTTCAGAAATATCAAAATTCTGCTCGTTTAACAGTAGCCCGGCAGACATGTGAAGTATTATCATCAACTCAACAAAAAGAGCAATGTATCTATGATATATTGATAACCAATGACACAACAATGTTGGAATTACATCAGGATTTTCATACAAGTGTCGATGATTGGAAAGAATACGCTGAATTAGTTGAGCAAGAACTTAAACCTGGATCTGCTCGTTTGAGTTCACATTTCTCATTGATCACATTCATGTTGATCATTACTCAGCAACTATTAACACGACTGCTTAAATCCGTTTCAAGTATCTAAATAGAAATTTGTATAACATTTCAAAACTGTTTTGACATGGTACAAATGGCTTTGTCTCTTTTGGTTTTTTATACTGGCATTTAAACTAAGTATTATCGTTAACGTTTTGTTAGCTTCGAGAACTACGGCTTGTCCACATAAAGCCACACTTCGCTGATCAAATTTTTCCTTTTTTCATCGGAAAATCGATCGGAGCCTATCACCAGGCGCAGTTTTTCACGCTGATTATGAATTCGACCTTTGTTTTAAAAAAAAACTGAATTTTCAATTTAAAATTTTGAAATCTTTAATTTTAATTTTCTGACCTAAAGATTTTCGTAAAATAATTTTACAAATGTACTGTCGAATAGAGAATTCAATTCTCTACAAAATGGTTCGTTTTGTTTTGAGAAATATTTCTTAGTCGAGGTGCAAGGGTTGCTCGCAAGTTGTTTGAAGAACGTTTAGTGCCCTAAAATGGCGTGACAAAAACATGTGTGACAGCGTTACGGAAAACGTAACAGGGTTACGTTTGTTTTTTGCTTTTTTTACGCGGGTAAAAATAGTTAGAAGAATATTCTTTTTACTGCTGAAAAGCTTGTTCGATGCTCAACAAAATTTGCTCTATGGGCATTTCATTTTCAGAACGACTTTCACAGGAAATTGGAACTTGAGCAAGAGAACTGACTGCGAATTTAGGGTCTTTTAATGCAACAGCGTTACACGATGAAAAAACCTTTTTCGAAGCTCCAGACTTCAAGCAAAAAATTTCGTTTTTATTGCATACATAGAGTATGATGAGCTGCGTCGAATGGCGTTTGAACGGACTTTCTAGCTCTCAAACTTCTCGAGATAATTGAGAAAAAGCGTGTCAGAAATGTAACAGCGTTACGTTTGGACAAGTGACTAACTTTTTCAATGGGTTATAACTGTTACATCCCAACTTCCTTCCAGTAGAATTCTCTTGACTTTTTAACGTGCTCGATATTTATAACTGAAAATGATCGCACAGATGTGAATCTTTTGACCTTCTTATGCCAGTTCCCAAATCATCAATCTACAAAGCAGTTTCGTGTCTGTTTGAGAAAGTCGCATAAGTTTATCAAAATCAAACCTTGACGATTCAGGTTTATTTTAGTTTGAAGAGTAATAATATGTCTGCCTTAATCAATCATAAAAGACTTTACTTCGGAGTTGTCTTTGTATATGTGCACGAACAAAAACGGATTTTCGTGACTCTTTTTAGGAGTGCGCAAGATTCGTCTTTTTTACCTTGAAACAAACGTTAAAACAAAAAATTTATACACTAGCGGAAAGCGCATACTGTATAGTTGAGTGAAAGTTAGTTTGAAAATGGTCGACGAATACTTTATCATTCTAATCAAACAGCGAAAAAATGTGTTTTCGGTGCTATAGCCAGCTGAATCCCCACAGTGACTGTGGAAACACCCAGTTATACTTGAGATAAATAATAGGTATTATTCAAGCATCTTGATGGCCTAAATGCGATGATGCTACTCTCAAAACTTTATCACGTAGATTTCCCATTAGAAATGCCGAAAACGAAATTTCTTAACTGACGGGTGACTCTTCGGAGCTGTTATCCGCACTTAATGAACTAATACTTTTGAGCTGCGTGGTTGAGTAGTATTTAGCCGAATCGAATGGTGTGTCATAAGTTGAAGTTCGGTTCTATTTTCATCGAAATCTCACCGAACTTTTCGTTCTTAAAAATCTCACCGAATATTTTCGCGTATTTTTCAAATTTCTCCTGGACGATGCAATATTTCAGTTTCATTTTTTACCAAATAACAAACGTCATGAGGTCTAAAAGTGGTTAAATTTTGATCTTAATTGGAGTATTATTTATCGAGATATTAAAATATTAAAATATTAGATTAAAATATTAAAATATAATCGAAAATCTCAGCGGACATTTTATGGGTGAAGCATTGATTTCCAACACTATAATAGAATTTTCAGTTCAAAGAAGAAAGAATAGAAACAAAACAATAAATCAAACAAGGCAAACGTAAAGTTGGATCGATAAAATGGATTTTTAACAACATTGATAAATAATATAACATCCAATTTAAAATGTTCAAAAGATAGTTTTAGATATAATCAAACAATGCAAAATTTGGCGCTATCGTTATTTATACTCGGTGATAAGAATGTATATCGGCTCGGCCAAGAGTGGCAGAATGACATTTTTTCGTCTTTTGCTACCTCTATTTGCCGAATTATCGATCCAACTTTAGGTGTCTTCTTTGCCTTGTTTGATTTATTGTTTTGTTTCTATTCTTTCTCTTGATTTTTTAACGCGTGCCTAATAACGTTTTGTATATTCCCATCATTGATTTCTCTCTCATTTTTGCTACCATCCACATACGTTCCACATTTTGAGTATGCGTACCTACGCGTTAAAAAATCAAGAGAAAGAATAGAAACAAAACAATAAATCAAACAAGGCAAAGAAGACACCTAAAGTTGGATCGATAATTCGGCAAATAGAGG